AGAGAATATGCATCATTTGAATCATATGAATCGGTTCAATATTGACCAAGATCGTACATTTTTTGTTTTTTTTGTTTTTTCTATATATAAAAAATCATGTGATATGATGTAATTTCGAGTATTTTGACTTTTCATTTTGACTTTGATCTCCAAAATCAAAACATTTTGACTTTTGGATTTTTATTTCGACTTCATGTATAGTGTTAACTATACGTAGAATGTTAACTGAATGTTCATTCACAAAAAGAACATTTGAAACTTATATTGATTGATATATATTATACAATTATTAAAAATTTGATAAAAAGTTTAATGTTCACAATTATTAAAGTATCAACTTTGATACGTTTTTATAGAATGCAAAATTTATTCATTTAGATAGAATTTTAATTTATTTGACAATTATTTTTGTTGCAAATTTATAATTGTAGCTATCCTTTGCATTAAAATTCATCGCATTTTTGATTTATTTGATGATAATTCTTATTGTTGCAAATATATAATGCAGCTGTTCTCTGCATTAAAATCTACTGCATTTTTGATTTATTTGATAATGATTCTTATTATTGCAAATGTATAATTGCAGCTTTCCTTTACATTAGAATTCACTGCATTTTTTGTTTATTTAATGATTGTTCTTATTGTTACAAATGTAAATTGCGAAGCTGTCTAATGCAATAGAATCTACTGCATTTTTGATTTGTTTAACAAATGTTCTGATTATTACAATATAAATTGCGAAGCTATTCATTGCATTTTTTATTTGATGATTGTACTTATTATTGCGAATGTAAATTGTGGCTGTCTGCTGCATTAGAATCTGCTGCATTTTTAATTTATTTGATGATTGTAATAAATGTAAAATTGCCGCCATAGCAGAATCTGCTGCATTTTAATATATTTTATAATAATTTGCTATAAATTTTTTTCTGATAGTAATAATTATAGTTTTTCATTTCTTATATAAATCAATCTTAAGAAATCATCTTTTTCTTCAATTTGTCTTTAAATCATTATTTTTTTTTTTTTTGTTATCTTAAAAATAATGTCACATTATGAAAAAGAACTAATAATGATATATATTTAATTAATGTTTATGTTTTAAAAGCAGTATTTTATTAATTTCATTTTATTATTATAAAGAATGCTCAAGAAAATTATTAGAAAAACTGATAAGTCAAAATTTAAAATATGAGTATCATAACAAAACTTGATTCATTAATTTCTGGCTAAAAAGTTTTTAAAAAACATGTTTTAAAGATTGAAAAATTATTATAAGATAATAATAGTAAAGATAATCAAGTTGAAAAGACTAAAGAATTCATAAAGGTGTTTATATGTGAATTAATTTCAAAAACTAATATATATATGTTGTAAATTTACGTTAACTATTCTAATTATTAAACTTCTTAGAAAATTATTTCAAAGATTGCAAAAATCCTTCTAAATATATTGATATATCCGACACAAGAAGAAATGAGAGAAATGACTGAAAAGTTCTTTATTGAAGAACACGAGAAATTTATTAGAAAATATAAAAAGAAAAATAGATAGATAGTTTATTATGAAGAAGAATTAGCAATCTATAAACTTTATCAACTTTCTAATAAGCTAACTTTTAAAATGCAATATCTAACTTTAACATATTAGGCTACTTTTGCAATATCAGCATTACAAGTAATAATCATGAAAGATTATTTAATTATTAAATTTATATTTAATTTAATAGATTATGACTATTCAAAATAAATCTTTTTTAATGTCAGGAAAAAAAATAATCCTACAATTATTATTATAATTGAAGATTTAGATTTTGAAATACTATTTGAAATATTTTATCAAATTATGATTGTATGACAAAGCTATTTGAATCTGATAATATGATATTAACTCAAATAACAACTTCTTGGGCTTGCTTGTTAGAATTCTTGAAAATTTTCTATCAGCTTTATTAGAAATAAAAACCTTTTTTTGTAACAAATTAAATAATCTATGGCAAAAAATTTATGATCCTGCATTTATTGTTTCATGGATTTTACATCCATTAAATAATTCTAATTATCTTATGTATGGTATAATATTAAATATACAAGAAATAGGTTATCAGTTGTTCAAAAAACTTTATTCACATTATAATTTTAATGCATTTTTAGAAGGATGATTAGCTTATCAAAACAAAATAGGAGTTTTTAGTAAACAATTTTGTTAGACATCAATATTTATAAATAATCCTATGAAATTTTGGCAAAATATAAAAGAAATATATTTTGAATTAAATATATTTGCATAATGACTTTTTGCAATAATACCTAATACTGCAGTATTTGAAAGAATTTGATCAGTATTATCTAATATTCATATAATAAAATGAAATTGATTAACAGCTGAAAAATATGGTAAATTAGCAAAAATTTCTAAACATTTAAAACAAGAACATTTAAAAAAAGAACAAAATGAAAAATAATAGAATCTCAAGAAATTATTATACAAAAGGGAGTTGAATTAGATGAATATAATTTTTCTGATAATATAGAATTGAGTGATATAGCTGAAGAAAATTTAAAAGAAACAAATAATTTATTTAATTTCTTAATGAAATTTTTAATGTTAAAAAATTTGAAGAATCTAGTCATAATATGGATCTTTTATAAATATATAATATAATAATAAAATATAAACTTAATTAAGTTTTTTAGTTTCCTTAATAACTTAATTAAGCCTTAAAAACTTAAAAATATTGAAAAAAATTTTAAGTCCTATTTTTAATGTTGATGATCTTTCAGAAGGTAACTTTTCATTTTAGACTCATATTTTGACAACATTATTTAAATTTTATATACACCTTCCTCCCTCTTTTATTTCTTAAGATAGAGATCAGGTTAATGAAAATGCTGAATGCGAACCTCTTGCACTGATTATGAATATCAATAGAATAAATTATAACCTATTGAATTACACATTAGATAATTGGATGGATTATATGATTCAAATGATGCATATTCTCATAATTTTACACCTCTTTCTCGTTCTAATAATTATCTTAATAATACACCTACTATTATACCTCATACTAATTGTTCTAATACATGTAGGATGATGAAGACGTCACTATTCCCGTACGACTCATTAAATATGGAAAAAAAGGTTCTTTATTATAGTTGTGCTTCGTTGCACAAAAATGGAATGTTATTGAATTTACCAAGAGGAGCTTATTCTAGGTGCTTTTTTTCTTATTTTGTGTATGAAACGTTGGTTTTAACAAATCAATTTTGTTTTTCTCTTTAGCCTGTTAAAGCATAGATTCCTAAAGCTGCGCACCTTATGTATGTAGACACAGAAATCTTGACTTTTCCTAATAATTGTCATAATTAATGCATATGCAATCCTATATTAAAAAATACTTTCACTATAAATTATAATATTTCTCTATACATAATAATTTAAAAAATTTTATTAAAACTCTGTATTTAAATCATAGATTAAAAATTTTAAAATAAAATTATTCTTTATAAATCTTAAATAAATAAAGGATCTAATAAATAATAAAAAATTTTTTTTGCCAACCGAGAAAATAATCGTAATTTTATATTTAATAAAGTAAAAAGAAAATATACAAAGAGAAACCGAGCTAAAAAGAAAAGTTTTTAGGTTATTTAGACAGGCAAAATTTACGAAAGATTTAAAACGTTAAATTAACTATCATGTTTAACGTCATTTGACAATTTTTTAAATGCAGGGGTTCGATTAATTTGGTTGAATTACAAGAAATCATTATGGGGACGTATATATTAATATAGATATTTTGATTGACAAAAAATTCGATTTATTGAAAAATGTGTAACGCAACATAAAATATTTATACAATAATTTTTTAAAAAATTTCGAATTCGTGCGTTAGCAATCAAATTCTACATTATTTTTATTTTTATTTTTATTTTTTTAAAAAAAAGTTTATGATAATAATACATTGTCCGCAATAAATGTTATCACCCATTAAAATCTATCACATTCGAGTATTTCTTTAACTTCCAACTTATAGTGACAATCAGGATTATGCTAAATTACAATAATATTAATTAAAGCGAATAAAAAATTTAAATTCTTATTAAAGAAATTACATTTACCTTACAGACTTGCTTAATATTTTTCCATTTGAATTCACACTGTTTAGGAAGGTATTGATTTTCATTATCGGATACCACAATTGAGGCACACATCCAGAGATCTTTTTTAATATTCCCACTCCCACCACGTTTTTCTACTAGTTCTTTTAGTACTTGTTTATGTTCATTCAAAAAAGAAAGTAATAATGTAATGCTTTTTTTGGTCCATTTAATACGAACTCTCTTTTCATTAAAAGGCTTCATTTTAGCGCTTGATTCAAATAATCTCGTAATGGTGTTTGATCCTTCCATAGTCGAAGCTGAGGAAAAATTATCAATAGCAAAAACGTAAAAATTCATTAAATCCCTGTTAAGGTACGTTACACAACTGTAGTCGATCAAATTGTCATGATTGATTTAACAATTTTAAGAGGAATAATATTTCGATGTTTATAGAAACTGGAACAGGACAGGAACATCACGGAAAAGAAATGAACAGGGCTAATATCCGAATATCCTTGATTATTACCTTGAACATATTGCTCGCCGATTGGGAAGTCATATGCTGACTCGAAGTAAAAGTTGTTCGTATACAAGCCTATCATATCTTCATTATCAATTTCAGAACTTTCTTGATGATTAGTTAAATATTCAGTCAAATATATGGGATGTGTCTGATAATGTGGAATTGTTTGCGTATTAATAAAACGTTGATACAAAAAAATGAGGTTCATAAGGTGTATGGTTGAATGTAACGGGAATTGCATAATCGTAATGCAAATTTCCTTGCATGTTACTAACAAAAGGTAAAATCTCACGTTGATTTTGAATGACGGATATATAATCATTTTGAAATATTTGCGATGGATTCATATTTAAGTGTGTTACTTCAGACGAAATGAGATAAAATGGGAAGGTGTGTGTGCTTTGGCGTATTTATAAAAATTATTTATCTTGTTTCTTTTGTAATGCAATCATTCTTATCTTGAATAAATAATCGAATTAATTAGATTAAAAGTTTGTTTATTTTAGTATCTTCATTTAATTTTTTCATTAAGCACCTTTGGAAGGTTTGAAGCATAATTTTCTAATAACGTCATTTGGATTGGAAACTTCCAATCAAATTTTTTGTATAAATGCACATCACTGCTTTTTTGTATTAATTTTTTTTCGCGAATTACTGACTTATTTCTTTCTTATTTGCATAAAGAAAACTTGTATTTTCTACGGAATAATCATTCGGAGTAGATTTCATTTTTTTAACACAATTAAAAATAGTATTCATCATGATTTGATTTTACGGAAAATTTATTATTGGTTAGGGATGGGGTGACCGAAATGTTACATAAGCTCCATTCTTTTATTCTTAGATTATTTTATTTAACTGATTTTTTCATTTTGGTTTAGGTGATTACTTTGATCACCTTTATTAGTCATATTGCTTTTCGTGTCTTAAACACTTTTATCCACTCATTGAATTGTGCTTTTTATCAATCATCTTGCATGCATTTTTATATTGCATTTTATTTATTAGCATTCAATCGTTCCCATAAAAATGTACATCGTTCTGCATATCTCTTATCATTCTCTTATCTTGAACAATTGTAAGAATTTGAATGGTGGATTCCTCATTCATTTACGGTATATATTAAAGCTCGAAGTATAATTATTTATACTACAATAAAGACCGATTCTTGAAACATTATTCGTTCATATTTAAAAAAATCTAATATGGAAGATATCTTTTTGTAGTATAAATCATAATTCTGTACAAGATAATTAGAAACAAATTCGATATATTTGACCAGTATAAAACTTCCGGGCTGGTTGTTTATACTAAAAAAAATAATTAACATCTATAGGTCGGAATCCAAGGAAAAGTTCTTAACTAATAATATTAGAAAGAAATTTAAACCTTTTTTACTATTTTTAATTTTTTCGTACAAATTTTTGAAAATTGGCTTCAAATTATAATGAATTATGTCTAACATATAAAATATTGTGTCGTTTCAATAAAAAATAGAAGTTTCTCACGTTTCCTTTATTTTTATTTAAATAAATAAATCATCACAATTAAATTAAAACGCCTCATGTGGTTGAGTAATTTACTTTGTATGATAACCTTTCTAATATATGGGCGCTTTGTAGTAAAAAGGGAGATAAACTACAAAGAAAAAATTTTTTTTTTTTATTTGTTGTTTTATTTTAGTAAAATAGATCCAACAAATAACCAATAAAAAAAATCATTGTTTTTAAACTTACTATTTCAAAATGTCATATTGCTGCATGTGTCTTAACCTCTTTGTGTCCACTCATTTAAATTGGGAGAAAATTTTTTTTTTATCAATATTTCTTTGTAAACTCTCTTATTGGGTTTTATTATTACTTTCACTCGTTTCCATAAAAGCAACCCATTATTAAATAAAGTGTACATGCATATCTCTTATCGTATTATAAACAATAAAATAAATAATAATAATAGGTTCCTTTCATTCTTCCCTTTCAGTATATATTAAAAACTGAACTGATTATATTATGAAATCCGAGCTTACTAAATATAGAGATGGTAGAACCTCCATGCATAGTTTTTTTTTATTTAAGGTAAACTAAAACATCTTAATATTTAACCGGTAAAACTTCCGGACTTGCTATTTACAAGAAATTGATATCTATAAATGTCGGAATCTATGATCTGCAAATTAACTAACAATATTAGTGATAAAAGACCTTGATTACTATTTTTATCGAAAGTTGGCTTCGAATTTTTTAGATTCAATATATACATAAAAAAAAATATATGCTGTGCCTAAAGTCAGGTGATTACAAATTGACCAAACGGAATTTTTTAAATGATTTTTATTCAAATTTAGTCATGATTTTCAATCGATTTTTTTTTAATTTTAGTTAAAAATTTATTATAAATCTTTTTTAATAATTAAAATATTACAGTAAATATATAAATTTATTTATTTTATAAAGTTCAACAATATAAAAATAAATAAAAATAATAAATTTTGGCTTTTATAAAAAAAATACTTTTATTAAAAAATATTCAAAACTTTGATCTTAAATTTATAAATTTTATTATAAAAATATTATTTGTTTAATAATAAGTCAATTCCTTTTAAATTTGAAAGAAAATCATTAAAGGAATAAGATTAAACATAAAAATGAAAAATTAAATAATTAAAAAAAAATAAAAATGCTTTTTAACAAAATTAATTTTCATAAATTAAGATAATATGCAAATACATTACATCATATCTATTTCAATTTGATTGATTTATTTTCTTGATTCTTTTAATACACAAATAGTTATTTATCTTCTTATTTAAAAAATGAAATCCTTCATTTATAAAATATAATATGCAATTATAAACTTTTCTAAAATAAAATAATAAGTTTATTTGAAATTTTAAAAGAAGTTAGATAAATTATTTAATTACATTTGAATGTATATGTACCAATAAGAGCAGAAATATGTCTTTTTATAATCAGACTTAATGTATATATAATATAATATTCAAGATAATTATTTTAAAAATAAAAATATTGATCAAAAGTTTTAACATAACTTGCCTTTCTAATATTTATTCTGTTATTTAAATATTGATCTTTATACATATAATGCAATAATGAATGCTGAGAAATTTTCAAACAAATTTTTGAAATATTATAATACAATATATTTGCTACAACTTTATAAACTTCATAACAGATATTTAATCATCAACTTAGATATAATAAGTAAATAATTACTTGTAAATAATGTGATTTATATTAAATGATACATCTAAAGCTTAAAATTATTAGCTTAATGCTAGTATAAATATATAATATATAGGAGATTTATTAGGAAAATAGGGCTCTGAAAATTTTTTAATAAATTTTAATTTTTATTGCATTTTGATTTTATAATAATATTAGATTAAAATGCAATAAAAATTAAAATTTTATTAAAAAATTCTTAAATTCCCATTTTTCTAGCAAACTTCCTATATAATAAAATAGAAAAAAATATATTTTTTAGCTTTTTTATGTAATTTCAGCTTTAAAGTTTTTTATTTGTTTTATCTTAATTAAAGATGAGAACTGTAATTAATATGTTGCAACTTTTAATGTTGCAACTTACGTTGCAATTAGTTTTAACCTA